GAGCGGTTTGATAAGGGTAGAGAAAAACTTCGGCCTGAAAAAAGGTATAAGAGAAAAATGTGTGGAAGGTAAATGCTGATCCAGAAAAAGCACATATCCAGAATGAAAATAAAAACAGCAGGAAGGCATCGCCCAATTCAGAAGGCAACAGCTGTTTAGAAGAACAGCAGGCAGCAGCTAAATGTAATTCCAGGATAAAACCCAAGTGTCCCCTTGGTGACAGTGACCACCTGCCTTGGGGGTGGTAGTGGCTGTCCTAGTATGGGTGTGGTGGTCCCGGATAGAAAGAATGTTGAATTGCACTTTATTGGGGCCTTCTAAAAGGATATAGACAGGAGTAAAAAGAGGAAAGTTGGGTTTGCCTGAAAAGGAAACAAATTATGATTCTGCAGGATCTTGTTACTTTGGCATTGATACCACATTTATTTCTTAGAGTGAAGTGTGACAGTTGACATTGACACACTTCACCACTCACACAGGCCCAGACTCCTGTTCTGGGGGAGAGTTTTTGGGAGAAAACGGGTCCACATAACTGCATAAGAAATATATGACCACTACCTATACTAATCAATCAGTCAATCTAGTTCTCCATTAATGAATATAAATCAATATCCAAAGATTAAAGTTAATTGAACAGTAGCAATGTAATGATGCCAAAAATAAATAGATGACCCTGAAGGAAAGAGATAATTCAAGGAAAAAAAGAGAACCTTGGAATTTAAGGTTTAATTTAGTACCTTCAGAGTGCTGAGAGGCTACTGCGGCTGAGAAACAAGAACAGATCACAAAATAAAGGAAAAATTAGGGGAAAGGAGGGGCTTCAGTAAGTTCATGAGAGGACTATTAAAGTTTTAAAAATTAATGAAAGGTAAAAGTGTTAATACAACCAAGGCCAAATTAATGATATAAAAGATGAAGTTGAGGGGCCAGCCAAGAATGTAGAGCAAACATACACACAAACAAAGCTTGGAAAATAGGACATTTAAGGGATATTGAGAGTCAATCCACACAATGAAACAATCATCTAACAACAATCATCTAATATCCAGAAGGAGACAGTGAGAAAATGAAGGGAATAAATACTTGTTTTAAATGTTAGAAGAAAAAAAAAAAAATGTTAGAAGAAAATATGCAGAATGAACAAGCTGGAGAATGAAAGAGCTCACTTGGTGGTGACCAGGATGAATTTTTTTAAAAAGTAAAACTGCTAAAATTTCAAGGTTCCAGCAATAAAAAATGAAATTCACAGAGCTTCCACATTTGTATATAAAGGAATGAAGTTGATGTAGTTATTGTGCTTCCCGACAGCAATGGTGCGTGAGAGAAGATAACGGACAAATATTTTCAAAATTCTGAAGAAAAATGATTTTGAACCTGGGATTCTATATGCAAAAAATTAAGAAAAAAACTAGGATAATCTACATATGTATTTTTAAAATTATTTATATCTTCATTTGGTGAGTATAGTGGGTCAGATTCATAATTCTAAGATTAATGCAAAATTACCTTATGCAACCTGTAATGTTAAAACTTCATTACGAAAATGGAATGGAAACTTTATGTAATTGTTCTATTAATGTAGGTAAACGATGACAAAGACAGAAATAAAGAATAGGAGAGAATAAGGAAGGGAGAGCGAGGAAGAGAAGGAGGAGGAGGGAGGAACTGGTATTCATGACGTCAAATTCAAATCGGAAACTTAAAAGTTTAGGTATATTTCTAAGAACCTCCAAGTCTATTTACCTGCAGAAGAAGATGCTGAAGTTTTTAGGAAAAAACAATCTTGTGGAAATGTTTATTAGGACTTACACATTGTAAATATACCATATTTTTAAAAGGCTGGCTTTATAAGGCTTTTTTACATTTTTGACAAAGAACAATGTGAATTTTTAAGCAGCATGATACAACGCCAGGCTTTCCCTGACTTCCAGATGCCCCACTTCTCAGGACAGCACAAGACCTCTACTCCCTGGAATATATGGTCATTCTTTTACCTGTGACCACGCCCCCTGCCTCATTCCCCATTCTCTCTAGAACTGGGGCTTCCGCAGCAAGACTGGGGGGTATGTGGGAGAAGAGGAAGGCAGACAGGAGGAAGAGCCCCCGGGGCTACTCCCCTTGCCCACCAAGAATGCGGCCCTCTCTCTGCCTTTGCTGGAGTTAAACACCAAACAGTTTATTGCACTTACATGTTACGAAAAAGTAAGACTCTTCATTTCATTTTATACTTAAGCCCTAATGCGTTAAGTGCCCACCTTACAATTCCCTTCGGGGTCCAAGTGAAAGAAATGGGAGGAGCACTGCTTCTATGTGACTATAGCGCAACGTTTTGGGAAACCTAGAGAGGCTAGTTATGCATTTTCTTGAGTAACTGGAGGATTCAGGAGAAGCTATAGACCCATATTTTGTAGTTTGCTAGGGAAGAGGAAGAATCTTAGTCTGAAGTAGCTGGAAACAGAAATGGGGAAAGGATGCATGTAGGCCAAGTTCTTAGGATTCTCTCAAGATGATCTGGGAGACAACTGGAAAATGACCCAGGGAATTTAAACCTGCAGGGCAAACCTTTTCTTTGATAGGCATCTTGTCCAGGACTCATGTGGCTGGAGCCCTAGCCTCAAGCTGTGGGCATCACCTTTACTCAGTTACAGCTTGAGACAATCTCACCTTCCAAGAGGACCCAGGTTTCAAGTAGGCTGAAAGTTCAAACAGCGTAGAACTCAAAATGGCTTACCTTGAGTATATATCATTATATACAGCAGAGGATCCTAGAACTGTGTTCATTATACTGGCTACAAGCCACATATGACATTTTAGATTCAAATCAACTACAATTAAATACAATTAAAATTTTAGTTCCTTACTTACACTAGCTATGTTTCAAGTGCTAATGCCACATGTGATGTGATGAAATGGAAATAGATGGAAATAGATGATTTCCATCACCATAGAAAGTTCTAAAGGACAGCGCTCTTCTAGGACATTGTAGACACAAATACAAAGCTTAACTTTGTGTATGTGAGCTGCCCTGGCAACACCCCACTGTGATGAATGTATCTAAGAGAAGATTTGACTTACAGACAACCTAAACTAACTCAAATTAGAGACTGTCTTCAGTTATGCCAGCTACCCAATATCCTTGAAGTTTTAATTTATGTCGCTATTGATATTACAATTAAACAGATGAGAAACCTAAATCAAAGTGATTAACCAACTTGCCCCAGAGGCAACTTTACCTGTGACTGCAGCAGAATATCAAGTTCCCCTTTTCCTAAATATGAATTACCCCAAAGTTCCAAGAAGCCTATCTGCATAGAACCTGATATAAGAATTGCACAGAGAATGTATCCAGTAATTATCTGTTGCATCAATGATGTAATTATTTCAATGCAACACTGAAATGATGCAATAAATGGATGAATGAGTGAACTGTAAAGCAGAGCTACCAGTAAAACCACCACAGAAATAGGAGGACATGACTCAGCCTCAGAAGTAAAACTGTGGCCGTGGAATAGCCAAGGGTACGCTGGAATTTCAACCAGCCATTTCTCAGAAAACATGTGATGCTTCCCTTATGGTTTTTTGAATCATTCTCTGGCCCATCTGATTAATGCTGTATCTTTCACTTTTCACCATTTTAATTTCTTTGAACATAAAGGGTACCCTAACCACTCTCCCATCCCCACCCCCAATTAAAACAAACTACACAGACTTGCACATAATACTTGGGCCCACTTCTCTGGGACTCCTTTGCCTGTCCACAGAGTTTCCATTCAGTGCTGAGGTTTAAGTAAAGGCTCTGTGTATCCCATCCACAAAGACTTGCTCCGTTACCAAAGAAGCGATCAACTTCAAAAGGGAATAAATTTTGTGTGCAGGGAGACTGCTGTATGGGGAATAAGAAATAATCACTTAAGTTTCAAATTTGCAAAATTTTGCAGTTTGCTGTCTGCTTTACTTTTCTCTTAAAGCTAGAAGATGACTGACCTTTTCTGATAATTTTTCCACATTCCCCTTCCCTCCCTTCAAGCAAACCAAACCTGTTGAGCCCTGTTCACTACTTACAGGAGATTCGCTGACTCCAAAGATGTCTCTGACATCCCTGACGGATTGCTTGTTCTTTTTTCTCATGGTTTGAGTGTAAGTATTGTATCTCTTCTTCACTGCAGCTGCTTGGGTTCGAGTCAAAGTGGAGAGCAAGGCTTTGCCACCCTCCTCTTCATCACCCGAGATCAGGGTTGATAAACCTACATCTTGCAACCACTCTGCTTCAAGTTCTCCTTCTGTAAGATGAAGTTACCAAGAGAAGGTTAGAATATTCTGAGATTGGAAGCCATTTATATCTGTAAGTCTGTACACATCAGCGAGTAAGAAATAGTCACTAGACAACATATTAAGACCATCCTGGACCTTGAGGACATTATGCCAAATGAAATAAGTCAGACAGAGAAAGAAAAACACCAAGCACCATATGATCTCATTATATGTGGAGTTTAAAAACAAAACAAAGCAAAAAGTCCGAGCTCATAAATATAGGGAACGGATTGGTGCTTACCAGAGGCCAGGGGTGGAGGGTGGGCGAAATGGGTAAAGGTGGTCAAAAGGTACAAACTTCCAGTTATAAAATAAAATAAATATGTCATGGGGATGTCATGTACAGCACGGTAACTATAGTTGATAATGCTCTATTGCATATTTGAAAATTGTTAAGAGAGTAGGATCTTCAAAGTTCTTATCACGAGAAAAAACATTTTGTAACTATGTGTGACGATGGGTATTAACTACACTTATTTGGTGTATGTATTCAAATATCTAATCATTGTGTTTATACCTGAAACTAATATAATACTGTATGTCAATTAAACCGCAAAAAAATTTAAAAGACCATTCTTTTTCCCATAGTAATTGTGGGAACGGCCTATAGGAATGAATAAAAGGTCTGTATTGTATTTTTTTAAGTAAGTCAAATTTTTAAAGTATCTTCTAGTAGAGTAAGGTTATTTGGCAGATTTGGGAAGGTAATTTTCCTTAGCAGAGAGTTAAATATAAGCCATATCTGAACAGCCAATTTCAAAACATGATAAAATATTAATATCTAAACTAAAACCATGACAGAAAAAAAGTGGTTTAATGGCACACAAAAGAATTTTTTAATCACACAAATTCAGGTTCAAATCCCAACCACCATTTACTAACTGAATAACTTTGGAGAGTTTTAAGTATCTCTAGATCTCGTGTCCTCTTGGCAAAATGGAGGTAATAATTACCAAAGTATTAGGTGGCTCTGAGGATTATTTTATCAATGAATTTGTGACAGATGGCAAAAATCTAGAACAGAGTATGTGTTCAATAGATATTCGTTCTCTTACTTTTCTCCTTATTTTGAACATTAGGTAATCTTTCCTTTTCTCAGAAGGCAGCTAAAAATCTTAAAATTCATCACGATGAAGATCAATCACTATTATAAATTAAATGTGCGGAAATACTAAAGAATTCAGAATAACAACATCACGTAACAGAAAATCCACTGTACACACTATAACATTCTGGGAACTATGCTAAACAGGTATTACCTGAATAAGGTTTCTTTTAAAGAGCAGAATTGACTGGTTTGCAAGTATACTATCAAATCATCAGTCCAGAGGCATTGGACTCTGCTTATGTTATTCTACCACTGGTACATGAACAAAAGCCTTCCCACATGCTTTACAAGAAAATGAGAAAACATTTTAAACGGAATAATAATGAAAATATGAAATATCAAAATTTGTGGGATGGAGTGAAGTCACAAAGGAAAAAGTAAAACTGTCTCTATTCACAAATGATCTCTTTGTTTATGTAGAAAATTCTAAGAAATCTAGTAGTAGACAACTCCTGGTAAGTCCATTAGAAAGGTAATGAAATATAAGGTCAAGTACAAAAATCAACTGTACTACACACCAGTTGCAAACAATTAAAAAATGAGAGAGGTGAGAGAACAAGAGAGAGACACCCAATTAAGAGAAATAGTCAAAAGATTTCACAAAGCAAGATATATGAATGGACAATAAGCACAGGAAAAAGCGTTTGACATCATTAGTCATCGGTGAAGTATAATTACAGCCACAATGAGATACCTCCACACATCCCTAGAATCATTCACGTTAATAAGTCTTGAAACATCTAATGTTGCAAGGATGTGCAGCAGCTAGACTTGTCTGTCAGATACTGCCGGGAGGAGTGTGAAGTGGTACAACTACTTTGGAAAAATGCTGGCAGTTTCTTATGTAATTATACATATTCTATGAAAAATACTTATATCCAAGAGAAATAAAAATATACCTCCACCGAAAGACTTCTACAAGATTGTTCACAGCAGCCTTATTCATAATGCCAAGACTGCAAACAACCATTAACAGTTAAATGTATAGACAAATTATGGCATATTCATACAACAGAATAACTGCTGTCATGGGTTGAATTGGGTCCCCAAAAAGATACACTGAAGTTCTAACCACCAATACAGGTGAATGTAACCTTATTTGGAAACAGGGTCTTGGCAGGTATAATTAGGATTTAAGTTGAGGTGAGGTCATACTGGAGTAGAGAGAGCCCTTGATCCGATATAGCTAGTGTCCTTATAAGAAAAGGAGGTGAGACACAGACAACAACACAGGGAGTAGGCTACGTGACTACAGAGGCAGAGAACGGCAAGTGTTGTCTACAAGCCAAGGAACAGCTAGGATTGCTGGCAACACCAGAAGCTAAGAGAAAGACATGGAACAGATTCTTCCCTACCATCTTCAGAGAGAGGAGGGCCCTGTTCACCCCTTGAGTTTGGACTTCTTGTCTCCAGAACCACAATAGAACAGATTTCTGTTGTTTTAAGCCACCTAGTTCTGTGGTACTTTGTTACAGCAGCGTTAGGAAACGAATACAAACTATCCCATAATAAAGAGCAATGAAATAGTAATACACCAAATGAATCTCAAAAATATTATGTTCAGTGAAAGAAGCCAAACCCAAAACTATATGCTGCAAAAACATCAGAACCTTGGTTGTCTCTGGCTAGAGACAGCAAGTCACAGGGATGATGAGATTGGGAAAAACCATGAGGAAATTCTGAGTTGATTGAAATGTTATGTCGATTTGTGTGAGGTTACAGGGTTAGTATTTGTCAAATGTCACTGAATTGCACACTTAAGATCTAGGCATATGCTTCAAGGAAAATAATATCAGTCAAATAAATTTTGAACTCCAGTTAGTAGGTATGCTTTTTGTAGAAGTTTATGTTAGCAAGCCTGAGAGTGTCTTCTGTACACTCTAGGCTTGAGCAAATGAAAAAATACATTGAGGAACAGGTTTCTCATTATTGGAGAAGGGGGTTATAAATACAGAAAAATGGAAGACAACAACAAACTTTGTGGCGTTGGATTGGAATTGGAGGTTATCAGTACGAACTCATGATTTTTAATATAGATAGCTAGCTAGCTAGTAAGAAAAAAGAAGTGGAGAATAAGAGGTATTTTCCTTTATGTGTCTTTCTGGATCTGAAAAGGCAAAATGTTAAGTATGTAAGGAAAAGGAATAAAAATATCCTTCTCTGATGCAGGACAGTTCCCTTGAATGGATTTTCATTAAATCTGTGGTGGGACTTTTTATTTCTAATGCTAAGTGAAATATACTAATTGTGGTACATCTGAACTATTGTTTTTCAGATCTAAGAAGGATAGGCTTGTAGAAAGGGAATAAAGAACAAAAAAGTTTTTTAAAGTTTCAGTTTATCTTGATAGTTGTCTTGAGGTTAATCACTGGTTAATGAAAACATTCTCAGATACTTGCTAAGCTACCTGCAGTCTTTCTTATGCATTTACTTGTCGATAGGTAGTACCTGGAGAAGATAACCTATGCTTTTAATCTCAGGTGAGTAATTTTGTACTTTTTGACAGTTACGGACAATTATATTTTTTGGGTCCTCAACCTTCTTGTTTAATTTCACTGGAAACTAGTATAATTGACATATCTGACACGGCTTTTATTTGATAAAGTACTAGATTATCCGTTCTCTAAATACATTAATGCTAGTACATGCTTCATAGTTAAATATTTTTAATCCACAATTATGTTGGTAAACTTTTTTTCTGTCTGTCTCTCTCTTTTGGTAATTAATGGTCAAGTATACAAATATAAAAGCCATCAAAATGAGAACACTCAATCTGCTAGATGATTATGAGTCAAGTCAACAGATGGGTACAGCATCCCTAAGTGGTGATACGTAAAGGATCAATTTGGATTGTGTTGACAGCCCTCCTTCAGGTCATGTCACCTTACACAGAAGCCACCCTGAGCCAGACCAGCAGATATAAATCAGTGGGAGCAGGCAGCTGATTTGCCAAATTCTACTGATTCGCTTGTTAAAATACTAGTGGAATGATTTCTACCTGCCAACAGAATAAGAGAGCATACAAAGAAAGACAGCACAGGGGAAGACCAATCTAGCACCTCACCATCCAGGGGCTTGGCCTCAGCTGACGTCTGCTCTTCCTGAACTCCCAGGCTGTTCTCTTTGATACTTTCTATTTCCCGCCAGAAATCCTCCATGGAGGCGCTGTCTATGGAGGCTTGAGAGTTGGAGCGGCTGAATGCGGGGGATTGTAAGGATTCATTGGAGAGCATCCTGCTAATTCTTCGGCAGCGAGAAATGGATTTTCTGAGAAAAGAATAGTATCTGTTAACGAAAATCAGTGTCTCATGTTACAAATCACAAAATTAAATTTAGGTGTGATATCAATGGAGAGATGGAGTTAGTGTGAAAGAGAGGGGTTTGAGGGAATAACCTCCAGTCAGCGGTGGCCCCATCCTTTTCATTCTCTATAATTCATAATGACTTTGTGGCCATGTGGGAATTACCACAAAAATACTTTTTATACCTTTCACACACTCATAAAGTGGGAAGCTGTTCATATTAGTCAAAACATATATAGTAAAATTTAGCCCTTGTAAAGTATCTAAGGTGATGTCAGAGAAGAGTGAAAAAAGCTGGCTGCTCACATCCAGTGGGGTGGGTACTATTAAGCAAACAAAATAAGCATTGGCGAGGATGTAGAGAAACTGGAACCCTTGTTCATTGTTGGTGGAAATGTAAAATGGTACAGCCTCTGTGGAAAACAGCATGGCAGTCCCTCAAAAAATCTAACATAACTACTGTGATATGCAGCAATTCCACTGACTATACATACAGAAGAACTGAAAGCAGAGTCTTGAAGAGATACCTGTACATCCATGTTCATAACAGTGATTCACAATAGCCACAAGGCAGAAGCAACTTAAACGTCCACTGACAGACCAATGGATAAGCAAAATGTGGTCTACTCATACAACGAAATATTATTGAGCCTTAAAAAGAAAGGAAATTCTGACACATGCTGCAACATGGATGAGCCTGGAGGACATCGGGCTAAGTGAAATAAGCCAGTCACAGAAAAACAAATGCTGTATGATTTCACTTATATGAGGGACCTAAAGTAGTCAAACGCCTAGAGACAGAAAGTAGAATGGTGGTTGTAAGGGTCTACGGGGAAGGAGGCATATGGCGAGTTATTGTTTAACAGAGAGTTTCCGTTTTACAAGATGAACAAGTTCTGGAGCTGGAGGGTGGAGACGGTTGCACAACAGTGTGAATGTGCTTCATGCCATTGAGCTGTAGGCTTAAAGGGGTTAATATGGCCAATTTTACATCGCACATTGTACCAGAATTTAAAAACAAATATTTTTAAATTTAAAGATACATTTTTTAAAAGTTGGATGTTGAGAAAATGGGCTGATGAGAGGAAATAATCCATGACATTAAACGGAAAAACTCTGTATTAGGATAGGATGGGGAAGTGGGGCACTGACTCAGTTCAGGGAGAACCAGATCACCACCAAGGGAAAGGCCCAAATGCTTAGGTGGGCAGCGAAGCTCCAGGTATCATCACCCAGCAGGACCACTGCTAGCCTAGCAGACAACAGCTGAACAAGGCACAGAGCAGTTCCATGGGGTGCTTTCCTCGTGGGATTGCTGCGAGGACTAGCACACGTAAAGCATTTAGGACATAAAAACATCCAACAGATGTTAGTCTAAAAAACAAGAGACACAATAGGGGAGACAGATGCCAAAATGCTGGAATTATGAGAGAGTTCGGAGATTTACATAAAAATAAAATATTTTATGTGAGGTGGTGGATGCGTTAACTAACCTTATTGTGGTAATCATTTAGCAATATATACATATATCAAATTCTCAGGTCGTACTCCTGAAATTTATGCCATGTTATATGTCAATTCTCAGTAAAGCTGGAAAAATTTTTAAATGTTTCACTCTATGATATATGATTGACAAATATTACACTTCTTAGGAACAGAATGTTTGATTACATACAACACTTCAGTCCTCAACCAGGAAGAGTGACTGAATGACTCTATGCAGTATGATCTTCTGTACTTAATCTTACATGATTTTTTTTTCTTTTTAATTTTCCAGTTGGAGTGTGTATGCAACTCCTGTCAAAGAACTCCTCCACACTTGCTTTCTTCTCTTTGGGCCCAGGTGGAATTGAACCCAAAAGTTGAGACTACTTAACCAATGTGTGGTCAGAGCTGTTTTATCCAAAACAAGAAATCCAGATGAAAAGAGCAATGACATAGTAATGTCCAACCGTGGCATTCTGACTCGCTTAGGACAATTCAATTTTGACATTCAGAGCAGCAGTGGATTACTACCAAACTCAGCCATGTCCTAGAGCATATGTAAAGCACACTGATATGCATGAGAGTACAAAAAGAAAGGGGAATAAGAAAAAAATTCCATGTGCTCATACGGTCTTTACCTCTAGGAAGCCTAGATTTCTCAATCATCTTTAGTATAAATTTCTAGAATTTGATCATTGATCCTGAGACTATACCAGACTGTAAGTAGTTCTAGTTTTGCAGTGAGTTAGCCAACTTATTTTTAAAACTCAGAGCATTTCAGGAAAATATTAGATATCCACTTTTTTTTTTTATTCTTTGCTGTGTGATAAAAATAATTTTATGTTGCTTTGATAATTGGGTGATAAGAGTTCTTCACTGAATTCTTTACAGTTTGACAAGACAGACACATTCTAGTGGTTGAAATACCTAGGAAATCAACACAGGTTATGAAGGCAGTTACTGGCTCCCTTTATTATTTTTAGGCTCTTCAGCTTTTTCTCTTTTGAAAACCACTAATGAATTCATAGAATTATAGTATATAAACATCTACTTCTGTGAAACTGTATAATCAGTTATCACTGCTCACACAGCCTACTGCCCTCCGTGTACCATATTCAGGAAAAAGTATATAGATGCCCAAAACTTTCTCTAGTTCCAGTTTTGTTTTGTTTTTTAGGTTTATTCTTTGAAAATGAATATAACTTGTAAAAAATTAACAGTCTTAACAGAAGACATGGACTAAGTTTTTAAAAATTATAAGGCGGTATATTATAAGCATAAAAGTTTAAGTAATACACAATTTATAGAGTGGAAGCTGAAGGTTTCTTCCCATCTGTATCATATTATATTGTTCGATAAGCTGCTTTGCTTTCCCCACTCAAAAACATGTCATAGGGCTTCCCTGGTGGCGCAGTGGCTGAGAGTCCGCCTAATGATGCAGGGGACACGGGTTCGTGCCCCAGTCCGGGAAGATCCCACATGCCGCGGAGCAGCTGGGCCCATGAGCCATGGCCGCTGAGCTTGTACGTCCGGAGCCTGTGCTCCGCAACGGGAGAGGCCACAACAGTGAGAGGCCCGCGTACCACAAAAAACAAAAACAAAAACAAAAACATGTCATAGGTATCTCTTCCACGCCAATACAGAGATAACACCTCAATGGCTGCATGGAACAGAACCATTTCTCTTAGAAATTAAGAAAACATGCAGATATACCTAAGCACTGAAAATGTTTGAAAAAGTGAGAAATTTGAGAAATATTAAGTGAATCTTAGAAGATGAGGGGCATATATATTTAGGGCTAATAATGATCCTTTTAGTTACAGCACGGTTTCTTACTCATGCAAAGGGAATACTGGTAGAATCTCAGAGAAGAGATCTTCATAAACTTCTGCTGGGAAGAGGAGGATTGGAGGTGAAATACAGGTCATGAACATCTGCGTAACACACTGGTTTCATCTGAGACAATCCACCCAAAGAATCCTTTAATTGCAATGGTCAACTATTTTTTTTGGCAAATAAGTCGAACAGCATTTTTGGGATAAGCACATTTGGAAGATTTCTCACTTTTTTAGTTAGGGATCCAAATATTTCCCCCTTCACCCTAGGGTAGAGTAGGGACTGTGACCTTCCAGTCTTAAAGTATTACATAATTGTGATGCTTGGGCTCATCCACCACTTTGATGAGCCTCACAGCTTTAAACCTCACCATATTAGGATAAACAGAGCTTCATCAGCTGTTTGTCATTTTTTATTCCAAAACAATACCAGGAAAACACTACATGAAAAACAGAATGCAACTGTTACACAGCATTATATAGCAACTTTTGTTGGGAAAACACCATTAGGTTTGTGGGGGTTTTTTAGCCACGCCATGCTGCACGCAGGATCTTAGTTCCCGAGACCAGGGATTGACCCGGGCCCCCTGCAGTGGAGGCACGGAGTCTTAACCACTGGACCTCCAGGGAAGTCCCAAAACACCATTAGGTTTAAAATTAGATTTAAGTGGATGATAATTACTATAAATTCAAAGTGGCATTAATAAACAAAATTTTTTTAAAGATTTTACTATTCCATTTTCCCTTCCATAATGTTTTTAGAAATACCTTAAATTTTAATGATTACTGGAGATGCTACAACTTCAGAACAATGCAAATAACGTTTAAGAGTTTAATGCTCCCTCCACCCCTTATTATATTACTATTGTCATACATGTTGCTTCTTCACATGTTTACACCCCACAATGGTTATTATTTTTGTTTCTTTTAAAAAGTCAATAGTCTTTTTAAAAATTAAATAAGTAGTCTTTTATGTTTATCCTTTCTGGTGCTCTTCATCCTTCCTGCATGTCCATGTATCCATAACAGATCATTCTAATCGGTTTTGAGAACCTCCTTTGGTATTTCCTCTCTTTTTCTTTAGCATTTCTTGTACTATGGACCTGCTGGCAACAAATCCCCTCATATTTCTTTCTGAATATGTCTTTAATTCACCTTCATCTTTGATGAATATATTTCCTGGGCATAGGACTCTAGGCTGGCAGATTTATTGTTGTTTTTATAATCCTTTTAAAGACGGCATTCCATTGTCTTCTATATTCTTGATTCTGATGAAAAGTCAATTATAACTCTTACTGACATGCTTCTAAATATAATGTTCTTCCTCTCTAACTGCTTTTAATAGATTTTTCCCCTTTTGTTTTTAGAAGCTTAATTATAAAATGCCTAGACTGTTTTATTTGTATTTATTCTACTTAAGGTTTACTGAGCTTCTTGAATCTGTGGGTAGATGTATTTCATCAACTTTAGGGTAGTCATCCATTTTCTCTTCAAGTATTTCTTCTGTCCAACTCTCTCTCACCTCTTTTTCTGGAACTCCAATAACACAACCATTTGATATTGTCCCAAATGTCCTTCACGATATGTTTGTTTCCCCTCCAACCCTCACCCCTTGTACTTCAGTTTAGGGAATTTCTACTA